GCGGCCACAGGGATGTCTGGGGCCTGGCAGTGCCAGGGTTTCACACGGTCACACCTTTGGCACAGCTCTCCTGCTGCTCCCATCTCACGGCACAGGAAGGAGGAGAGCTCCGTGTAACCCAACAGCGGTGATTCAGAACCCGCCAACAGCTTCTTGCACAACCCAGGCTTTGACTGCAAAATGCCTGTCCCAGCGTGACAACAAGATTTAAAGAGGGACTGAAAATACTTTTGTAAGCTGTAAATTACACCCATGCATTTTGGCAAGGGTCTTAAACGCCCCACTTCAGGATTTACGGAGTAGCTCAATGACCAGACCACAGCAACACATCCTGTGGTGAGCAGGTTATTCTCCGCCCGTAACCACAGGGTGTTTGGGCCTTCCTGGGAAGCCCTTAGGGTTGGACACGACAGAGACACGACCCATAGCAAAGCTTCAGCCCTCTTGCAGATGAGTGTCCTCACTGCCCTTATGCTGTCAAGCCAATTTCACAGAGCCACAGCGAGCAGGAGTCCTCGTCTCCCTGGAAGTCTCGTACAAGCGAGACCTCTTTGCTCCAGAGTTGGGATTCAGCCAAAAGTAACCGCCTGGTTAGTCCAGCTCCCGGGCTTGGTCAATCCCACATGGACAGACAGAGGACACTGCGCACAGAACTTCCCAGAGGTTCCACATAAAGAGTGAAAATGGGGCCCCAGACAGGAAAAAGAAAAAGCAGCATCAGAAAGAGCAGCAGCCCTCTCCCCACCCCCAGTATTTATTCCAGTGTCCGAGGTCAGCACAACAGGAAAAGAGCTCTGGGAACCCCCAGCTGCTTCCTGACGTGTCCGGCCAAGCTCATTCTCGGCCGTTAAACCAACAGCATCTACTTCCTGCACCTCTGCAAGCCCAGACATCTCCACAGGGCTGTGCAGAAGAGCAGAACTACACATCAGTGCCTCCCCACAGGGCTCCCAGGGAGAATCACGAACAATCCTGGGCAAGAACCAAGTGAAAAGCACTTGTGCAAACACACAGCATTAGTGACAACAAGATAATGTCTGTGTGCAAAATGGGATACAGGAAAGAGCGACGCTTCTCCAGAGCAAAGGGAGGGCAGCAGGTTGTACCTGTGCGGAGGGATGCAGGGAACAGAAACCACAGGGGCTGCAGCTCGTTTCTCCGCCAGGATCTTCCGTGCCTTCTTCATTTTGATTCTGGACTTGGCCTTTGCTTTCTTCACTTTCTCAGAGCTCCAGCCTTTACCGTCCTCCTCTTCCTCCTCATCTTCCTCTTCCCCTTCGCTGTGGGAGAGCGCGGGCAGCCTGCGCACGGAGCCCGGCGGCGTGTGGATGTCGCAGTAGGCGGTTTTGCGCACGCTGAAGGAGGTCCCGTTGGCTCCCGTCTCGCGGACGGGCTCCATTTTCATGTACAGACCGGCCTGCTGGGCGCAGGTCACGTGGAAAGCCGTGTAGCAGTTGGCCTTATGGCACTGGATGCAAGCCCCGGAGCCGCGCTGCTTGCAAATATAGCAGGTGAGCTTCCAGCGCGCGGGCGGGATGTGCTCGATGCTGTCTATGGGCTCCAGAAAGACCGTGTTGGCAAAGCACACCTCCGGGATCCAGAGGGCACAGACCACGTGTGCCCAGCGCCCATCGTCCGTCTGTTTGAAGGCGCCACCTTTGTTTGGGCACAGGGCACAGTCCACCGCTCGGGAGGGCGACTGCAGACACCGCCGGCAGAGCCACTGTCCCTCGGGGATGTAGGGCACCCCGTAGCACTCCTGGTGAACCGCCAGGTTGCACATGTCGCAGAAGAGGATGACGTTGCTGTTCTGACACTCGCCGTCGTTGCAGATGCAGCACACGGCGTCCTCGTCGACCAGAGCGTTCGGGTCGCCCTTGTTGTGGCTCTCGAAGTAGGACTCCTTCTCCAGCCTGTCCATCAGGTACTCAAAGATCTCCTGCGGGATGGGGCTCACGCCTTCGGTCTTCCGCCGCTCGTTCATAATGTCCAGCCAGATGTAGTCTTCCTCATCCATGTCATACTCCACCTCCTCGTCCAGCTCCTCGGCCGACTTCTCTATGTACCTGGAAGGACAGAGGAGGAAGGTGAGTAAATGACTTGGATGGGCTCAGTGCCGCTGGACCCGAACCTCCCCTTTGCTGAGGGGATATTTAAATGTCCCAGCCAATAAATCAATAAATATATACATAAATAAAACATGGGAAGAGGCAGGAATCTGCAGGACCAGGGGGTGCTGCTGTACATTGAGCAGAACAGCAGCCCTTTTGGCACAACCCAGCGAGGCGTTCAGCCCAAATAACATCCACCTAATGAGCAAGTCACAGCCCTTGGAGACTCACCAGCGCACGGCAGGAGCCAGGACGAGCCTCCAGGCAGGCAGCAGCTGCTCTGGGGACCGTGGCCTCGTTTCCGAGGTGCAGCAGTGCCAGTCCTGCGGCAAGCGAGGCACCGTGGAACGCACAGCGGTTCATTAACCGTGGCCGTGAGGGCTGCACCCTCCCCTCCTGCTCTCAGTTGTGGCTGCCGGGATGTTATTTATAGAGGAAACCACTTGAACCCCGAGTTTCCTGTTCCAGCAGCTGGTGGCAAACGGCACCCACCTTCCCATGGAATGACACTGCCCTAAACAAAATAACACTGGTGTTTTGTCCTGGAAAGTGAAGCTCACTGCTTAGGCAAGAAGGTACTTCTTGGCATGGTGACCAGGACAGCAGAGGTGGACATTACGTCAGGGTTATTTCGTGTGTCCAGCATTAATCCTCACCCAAATTACTGATTATTTGGGGCCACTTAACTTACCAAACCACACCTGGAAAATATATTAGGGAACAAAGACGCACTAAGCTTGCAAATACACAAACTCCATAGCCTTGTGCTGGGGGACTCCAGGGGAATCTCAGAGTATCTCTGAAGAACAGTGCGGAAGGCGGAGGGACACATACAATTTTTCTTATAACTCTCGCTACTTTGTATGAGCGGGGAAAGACTGTAGCAATCAAATTGCTAGCAAGGGCACAGGAAGCAAGCAGAACTCTGCAGTTATAGTTATACCCCATGGAGTTACACTCTGTACTCTGCAGTGTAGAGAGTCCTGGACACCAGGGAGCACCACTGCAGCTCCAGGAGTCTGGAGGAGCAAGGCGGCCACCTCCACGTGCCCTAGGAGAGGCCCACGGAGGACAGCGCGTACAACGAGGGGGCAATTCTGCCTGGAGGGCTGTCTGGAATGACCCCGGAGCGCCTCTCGCCCCAGCCGCCCCCCCGTACCTGTAGTAAGAGGTGGGGCGAGGGGGGGCGTCGGGGGTGTCCTGCTCCAGCTCCCGGTACACGACCTCGGGCAGCTTCGGGGTGGTGCCGGCCGAGGCGTTGTGGTGGTGGTGGTTGGAGTCCTTGCGCTTCTCCTTGTTCTTGTGCTTGCCAGCTTTGGGGGTGACGCTGGGCGCCTCCGCGTTCTCCTTGTTGCTGCCGCTCTCGGGCGCCTCCTCGGCGGCCTCCTCGTCCTCGGACACCACGTCGAGGTTGTCGAAGATGCTGATGCGGTGCACGCGCCCGTGCAGGTCCACCTCCACCATGCGCTGCGCCTGCGCGTAGGTCATCACCTCGCGGCCCGGCGACTGCGACGTCTCCGAGGGGCTGGGCGAGTGCTTGTTGGCGGCGCGGGCCTGGCGGCCCTTCTTCTTGTGCTTGCGCAGCGGCGTGTGCGGCGGCGGCGGCGGGTTCTCGTGGTCATAGTGGTACAGGTGGTACTCGATGCCGCTGTAGCTCTTGTAGATCTTGCGGCAGCTGCCCACGGGGCACTCGTAGGGCGGCTTGGTGGCGCGCAGGTTGTGGCAGAAGGTCTTCACGTCGAAGTCCACCCCCATGGCGCCTCGGCGGGGCGCGGAGGCCGCGGGCAGCGCCCGGCCCCGGCGCGGGGCCCG